TTTGTAGCATATCTTTGTAGTTGACGTTGGGACGTTTCCAAAACATTGGTTATAAAACTTTTTTCAAAGATTCAATACCGCAGGCATTACCATTAGCAAGATGCAGGCCGTTGGATTTGCATCTTTTGTGTGTCAGCAGAAATAAGACCTTATGGGAAGTGAGGAATATACACACACACAAGGACACGCACGCACCCTAAAAAATGTAAATCCGATGCACTATCTCCATGTGATATATCGTAGTTAATGTTAATGCCTGCGATATTGAAGCTTTAAAAACTCATAATTCTGAAAGTTCTCATCGATAAAAAGTTTTAATAAATGTTTTGGAAACATTTGTCAGTTGCAAGGATATATTATGAAAAGTAGAGGTTTTTATTTAAGATTTTGACAACGCTTCTCAAGGTCATTTAAAGATCAAATAAATATCAGTATCTAATAGCTTTTCATACTACTTGTGTTTCAAACTTTTTTTAAATAAATCATATTTTTTAATATAATTAGTCATTTCAAAGCTTTTGACGGGCACATAGTGATTTAGGACTATTGTGACAAACTCTGAATACAATCTCAGGAACGATAGATGTCGCAGGGAAGATCATTTTTTACTGAGCAATCCATGTTCTCTGACGCGTCGTTTAGGAGCTACACGATCGCGCAGACAGGTCTTAGATGACATTTATTATAATTATGAAATAAAATATTTATTTATTACTTAATTTATTAAGTACACTTGCACATAGCTTACAGAAGGTTCAAATTGTCTAGCCTGAATCTGATTGCATTAATTATACCATCGTAACATTTATTGTCGGGCTCTATCGAACATTTAAAATCTGTGTTGAATTAAGTGTCGAAAGCAGTGCACAGTTGCACAATAGTTTCTCTGTGATGTCGACTGGGATAATATGCATGACACTCTTCACATATTCCCAAAGAAATAAATTAATGGGCATTAAGTCGGGCAATCGCGCTGGCCACGATACGCTGCATAACTTCTAAATGACGTGTCAGAATATATGGGTTACTTGACAGAAAATAGTGTTTTCTACGAGATCTATCATTCTTCAGAGTTTATCGCAGAGATCTTGAAACACCCTGTATATACAGGGTGTCCCATTTTAAATAATGTATTTTAATATTTCTTCTGTAACTCGTCATAGACGAATTTTTCACACAAATGTTAAAAATACGGACTTAACCTTCAGTAACTTTTTTAAGATCAGGTCAAAGTCACTTAAAATTTTTTAAATAAAACCCCCATTTTTTATTTCATATTCTTGTAGCTAATTTCATGACCTTTTCAAAACATTACAATAAAGTATTTTTTCATTAAATAGTTTCTGAGTTATGAGACTTAAAAGTTAACAGCTAAAGGTTAAATCAATCCGTTATCTTAATGCAATTAAGTTTGAGACTAATAGAGAATGATGACTTTAATTGACTTTGACATGTTGTCCTCAGGCTCAGGTATCAAGCTTATCTTGAATTTTTAAATATATTTCTTTTACTTTTATTCTATTTTTAGCGTTACTCCGGAACATCATCGTGGTACTTTCTGTTCCTTTAGGATGCATCAAAAGTTGTTTGTGATTAAGAGGGGAAAATATGATGGAAAAAATTTAGTCAAAGTTATTGTGATTTTTTAGAAGGACCCATACAAATTTATTTGTACTAACTTGTAGACAATGTTCAAATTTTTTAGTGACTTATTAATGTTATTTTATTTTATGTTTGCTAAGTTTTGCATTTTTTACTTTATTTATTACTGATTCATTCGTATATTATTTGCGTATCCTAGAAGAAAGTATCATCCAAATGATAGTATGATTCGCATAATAAATCGCGTCGTGAACGACACCGAATTCGAAAACGAAATAGACCTCAGAGATCTTAATAATATTGGAAATATGTACTGTCGTTTAGGTTGCTATAAAATCACATGTGAGCATTCAACAGATAGAGAGCGAGTTGGGCATTCCAAAAAGCATAGCTTCCAGAGAGAGGTTTCTACGATTTTTAATAAAGTTTTACCTTTACCATGTGATTCTAATACATGCACTGTCTGATAATGATATGATACCGTGTTCCCTCGATCTATCTCCGCTCGTTTTTTTCTGGGATTTGTTAAAAAATATTGATCCATATTCTGAATCCTTTTTTATCAATAAAAGTGCCTTAAATGTAGTTTCTCAGCCAATCAGGTGGCTCCTAAGCCTTTTTTAGAGGCTCACTTATAGTTAAAAAAGTACTCATAATATGGGCTATTGTTTTTGCAAGATCGCAGACGATGAGAGATCACATGAAAGAACAAATATCACAATCATGTCAAAAAGTTGCTAGAAAGAACAATGGTAAAAAAAAGTCATTTTTTGTTTACTGAGACAAACGTGAAAACGTTATCATTACTTACTAATTTTGACTAGCTAAATACAGTAGTACTACTATTAGAATTACCCTGGAACACCCGGAACATCTTCTATTTTGAGGTTAAAGTTGTATTTCTCCCGATAATTCCCTATATCGCGTTACAAGTATTACTGAAACTGTCGATATTGTGGGAAACAATTGCTATCTGCAAATACACAAATTACAAACATAAGTGCGTTTATCTATTTATCTTGCGTTTAAGTCAGATCTATTTATTTGTTTATTTGGCGTTTAAGTTTATCTGAGCGAAAAGTCATTAATTTTGCTAGAAGAAACAAAGTAAATAATATTAAAACTTCATTTACCTTATATTTTCCTAGATATTCGATAACTAAGTTGAAGATGAATTTATAGTTTTTTTTTTTTTTTTTAGTGGGACATCCAATATAGTGTACTGAATCCAAATCCGGGATCAGAATTCGGAAATTCAAAATAGCGAATCCAATATGGCGGTTATAAACAAAAAAGAAGGAAAAAAGGTGGGACATTTCTCGTTACCCCTTAAAGGATAAAGGTCCATAAGTTTAGGATTTAAGTATTTGAAGTTTGAGGGTTTCGGGTTAAAGGATTTTGAGTATAAGGGTTTGGGGTTTATAAGTTTTTAAGATTTGAGGTAGATATCCTGAAAGCAGAAAATATAAAAAAATGGTGATAAAAGTTAATGTTTCCTCATTTGTTCTATAAAAAAAGTAACGAATTTTTACTTTAAAATACGCTGTATTGGACCCGTCATTTTAAATATCGGAAGTCAATCTAGTTGATAAAAATATCTTGCACTTGTTGTTTGTGATTTGTGTATTTGCAGATAGTAATTTCCCTCCACAATATAAACACAATATAAACAGGTTCGGCAATATTTATAACGATATAAGGAATTATTTGGAGATATATAACTTTAACCTCAAAATAGATGTTTCCGGTGTTTCCCGGTAATTCTAATAGCATCACTGTATTTAACTGGTCAAAATTAATAAGGAATGATAACGTTTTCACGTTTGTCTCGATAGACAAAAACTTCGAAAAAAGATCGATAATTTCGAAATGGATGACCCAAAGTAGATAAAATTATAGTGTATTAAAAAGATCTAAAGAAGAATTATAAGAATATGCAATAAACAATAGAGGGTTTCATTGAAAAAATTCAAGGTAAGCTTGCTATGACCTTGATGACGCTACTTAAGGTCAAACTGATAAAATTAGTAAATAAATCTTTTTAAACTCTATAACTTTTATTTGACACATGTTTTTATAAAACTTATATTTTTTTAGATATTTCGGGGTCCTGGAACTTTTAGCCTTGTCACTCACGCACGCACACACGCACACATATGTATTATAATATTAGTACTACACAAGGTGTCCCAGAACGAAGCTCTTGAGAGAACGTAGAGCGGGTCGAGAAGAATATAAAAGTCCTATACCGTTTTGCGATATAATATATTCGTAATAATAACCAAGAAATTAGTTGCGAAAGATTAAGGAAGTATGCTGAATAATAGAAGACGGAGCGCTTGAGTCACAGCGCGGCCCAGTAATATAGCGTGTGGATGTCAGCGCGTGGCGATTGAAAGAACAACGCACAACTGCTTATGCTTATATCGTTACGTTCCTACGTCTTGCCGCATCACGCCAAGGCAAGATATAGCAGCGCGGTATAAACATAGATAATCTTCTCACGAAAGCATGGTCGTAGATTGTTTTAGGACACCCTGTATATATGTATTAGTATTATTTAGTGACATATAAATTCAATTTTGTCCCAATTTATAACATGTGTGTCTATTACTGACAGGTGATGAATATATAAACATATTCCTATTACTGAATATTACAGAAATACTACCAGAAATACAAATATAACCGAAAACTATGATTTATCATTCTTATTGTGTGTGTGTGTGTACAATACTATTTTCATATACACGCGCGCGCGCGTGTGTAATACTATTTTCATAAAAAAACAAAGATATTAGTAACATTTATATCATATTTCAGAAATTATATTACTCAGTAATTAATATATTATATATTTTATCATAATTCCAATAATAAGAATAAATATTCTGGTACCAATTAGCGACTTATTTTTATACACGTTGAAAAATGCGTGCCTTGTTGTTTTTTCTATTTAAAAAATGTTTTAATATTTTTTAACTTTTCCTCTCCCTTTCCTTTCTCCTCCTTTCTCTTTCCCTATCTATCTATCTATCTATCTATCTATCTATCTATCTGACAGAACAATATAAATTGCTTGAAATTAAAGAATAGCCATATAGAATTAAACATTTGATACTAACCATGAACTTCCAAAAGATCAGCGAATAACTATTCAAATTCCTATGTTGTATTCAGTAGCACTTGTAATACTCAGAATATTCTAAAATATCTAAGATTTTTAATTCTATTTGAAAATAATATTCTCATATTAATTGATTTGTAAAAAAAAAAAAAAAAATGCAATTGCAAAAAATAGAACGCTGTCATTAATTAGGACATTCATTTAATATGAATTCAAGATATCTTGTATTACTTATTGCTTAAACTAAAAGCATATAAGTATAAAATCTTACACCACCAGTCTTTATCTGCATCCTTTGTTCAGGTAGTCTCGCCAGTAAATTCAGAGCTAAATCAGCAACCCATTGAATAAGTTGCTGTAATGATTGTAGCGTGCTTGGTTCCACTGTAAATTCTTTTGGATCAAGATGTAACAGCACCTATATAGCACAAAAAATACTAAAAATAGAGCAACTATTGAATTAGTTTTATACGCTGATACTATTTGATTTCATTATAACCAGTGTTTATCTTAGATGTTTATCTTAGATGATTTTAAAATCATCTAGATGTGGACAAGATAAAAATTCGTAATGTTATCTAGTTCAGATAAAGATAATTTTCTTTTTTAAAATTCATCTAAATAAAAAATGAGAATTAGTACAATTTATTTAGATAATTTTATTTTTTTAGAAATATTTATAAAAATTTATTAAACATTTTTTTTATTTCTTAAAAATAAAAGTTTTTCATATGTTTTGTCTGATAATCGATTTATTTTTTATGTGATAAACTCAGCTCATACTAAAAACACAACATGTTGATTGACTACCGCGTCGTATTTTACTTTGCGGTAAGCATTTTTGCGTCCTACGTGCGCAGAAGTCATATAACTAGCACTTTAACTAGTCGAATCTTAGTTACTTCTACTTATGAGCAGATTTACCATTACTTCGGTACGGCTTATTAATTGAGTCCTTTTTGAATGTAGAATAGAGTAAAAAAATATAGATGAATATCTTCAAGTGTCCGATGTGTATCTTTTTAGAGACAAGAATCCATAGACTGAACGTGTTTTTAATTGCTATGATCACTGCTGTCTGCAATACGACATGCAGCCATGTGTGTATATTAGTTGTGTAAAAATAATGAATCTTATTGCTCGTGTATTGTTCATGAATTTGACGCATAGAAGGAGGAGGGCATACTAGGTGGCGGCGGGACGTCGTGCGTTCGAGATCTGCGTATCTTTTCGTTCCAGAGAGAAAAATATTGAGAGACTGCTTTAAACCACTGAGCTACTTGACGCTCCACGCTCACGACACTCTCCTCTCCCTAGATAACGCTCAGAGATGCCGTTCGGAAGCGACATCTCTGGCGCGATCCCGAGCGCACGGCGACTACAGAGAGAAATAATGTTACTTGTACTAAATGGTACAGCTGTCAGTCTCTCAAAGTCAAAGGTTGCTATCCTTTAAGACCTGCTGTCCATGTATGCCCATCTTCACCGTTGCCCTTCCACATCCGGTGCAAATAATACAAATAAGCCCTGGGGTCGACACCAATTTTTTGACGCATCGGGATTGACTATTCCATTTATTTCATTTGCGTAATCGTGTAGAGACTGACAGTAATTACAGTAGTTGAAAACATGTTCAGTTTCTGGATTTAAGAAAGATATGCGTCAGAAGTCTGGAGATGGCACGCTTGTCTATATTCAACATTCTACATCCAAAAAGGATTTAATTAATAAATGGCAGTATTTTATCTTCTTTTATAGTACACTCAGATGCATCGAAATTTTTACTTTCAGATGTAAAGAGTTTTAACAAGGTGTAGATGAGCACGATCGTTCCGCGCGATTCTTCACTTTCTTAAGGTTCTGCATTGAGAAAAAGTTATGGTAATAACTATCCTACCTGTGTTATAGTTACTAAATCATTTAGTAAAATAGTATCAACTAAATATAGAAGTGAATATGACTAAATCATTTGGTAACTATGAACCAAAAATCATGGTAATTATTACTAAAGCTTGGTGACTATTACCAACTATCATCAAATAATGTGGTAAATAAAACCATGTTGTTTAGTAATATTTACCACTATTATATGATTACTATTACCTCAACTGCTTGGTTATAATTACACAAAGCATGGTAATAATTATCAAAATTGTCATATTAAAAATATTTACAAATATTGTAATAATGCTTGATTTCAACTATGACGATAGAATGAGGAGGACGTACTAGGATCGCGGCGGTCGGGACCTGCGTCTTCTTTTCATTCCAGTGAGAGAAAAATATCGAAAACGCGGTTTGCTAGGCTGGGAATCGAACCATTTCGTGTTCTCGACACTGCTAGGCGCCACCGCCAATTCAGACTTTCTGCGGCGAGATAGTAGAGCCTTAATCCGTAAATCAATATCAAAATATACAGATTTAAGTAAGAATCAGAAGATTCTTTGCAAACAAAATCGCTTTCTCGCTCCATTCTTCTATAATACGACATCTAAATTTCTATAAAGCTCATCTACCTTATCAAAATTCTCTACGCTTAAAAGTAAAGATAAAGAGTAAAAGTAAAGATTCCTATGCACACGAGTATACACATAATCCTAAAGCAATCTTCTAATTGATTTTATTTCGTCTCATATTTACTGGGTAATATATTCTAATATATTTGTATGTGTATATACTTACTAAAATTGACTTCTTGACACGGCCAGGAAAACTTTTGCATTACGTATAACATTATCTTATATAATTAGTTAGATAAGATGACATTTTTTATCTAAGATGAGGGTGAAAAAACTTTGTTTAGGATCCGTTTAAGACTGCAAGCGCTTTGAAACGTGCATAAAAAGATTGTAGTCTATACGGTGTTTCGAAGCGTTTACAATGTCAAATGGATCTTGTCCTTTATATTTTTTTTATTCAGATAAAGGTAATTCTATTTCTTTACCTGGATGATCATCTATATAACTTTATCTAAATATCGGCAAACACTGATTGTAAATAATACATTACTTACTACCTTATCGACATCGGTAATGACGTCTGTTATCACCGCAGCTAAGCTCTCCGCTGGTCCTTTGTCGTGGGATATCATATCCGATGGTCTCAGTAAAGATTTGAAGGCTGTAGCTACTGAATGTATCATTAATAATGACGATAAATCCCCTGCTTTACTCTGTCCCGACACAAGCATTCTGGAAAAGTTAATTGTTATAATTAATTTTTTCTATTGTTTTTTCTATTATTTATTTATAACTTAAAAATAATTTTTTATAATTTTAAGAGAACCATAAAAATTAATATTTAAAAGCTACAATGAGTTGAAAATAGTTATGTTTTAAAAATAAACGTAGAAAAACTTGGATATCTTAAAAAAAAACCAGCTTTGACATTTTCAAATGATAAATAACATAGTTACAGTATATAAAGTATTATTATCACAGTCGTTAATTATAGATGAATTGTCGATTCCTGAGATTATTTTCAGAAAAAAATTTTAATATAGAAATGTCGAAGCTATTATAGTTTTTACAGAGAAAGTATTTAAAAATGACCAGTTGGGATGTAAAAAATTTATACGCTCAACAGTGTGATTCTGTAACTCGATAAATGACAACAATATCATTAGCATTGTGTGTCGTTGCACGTTTTTCCTAGCATACTTGCGCAACGTTAATAATAGTTAACGAGTTATAGAATTGCACTGCAGATACAGTTCATTACTGCAATGCTTCTTCGATTTGCTTCTTTAATTTTAAAATACATAATAATAAAGATATTTTGAAATCTTAATCATTAATAGTATTTTGGAATTCTAATCATCAATAATATTTGAGTCCTAATCATCAGTAGTATTTTGGAGTCTCAATCATCAATAGTAAAAGTATATTAAAGTCCAAATCATCTTAACTATGATATTGATGTGATTGTGGATATAATGCATACTTTTATTTTATTCATAAATAATTAATTTGTTAAAATTTTTGCTAATAAGAATAATGATATAAAAATCTTATAGGATATTGGCGCAATGTGTTTAGTTATTATATTAGTTATTATTATTTATCTGTCTTAGATAAATCATATTTTTCTATGATAAAGACATTTAAATCAATTGATACTATTGTTATTGATGTAGTTGCTATTATTTTTATTAATTAATAAATGATCGTTGTATTTATTGCATGAATATACCAGTAACAATTAATATATCAAAAAATTAATGAATATAAATCATTGATATGCATTTTCTTTTTTTATGATTTTTCCTTTTTTACCTATGTAGTCCTATGTAGTCAATCGTTAATATATTTTATAATGAAAATTAAAAAGTAATCCATCAATATTAACATATTTATTTTAACATCGTCTGTCTGAGACAAATATAGCTTTAATATTTTTACGCAACCACACCAATGCTTTGTAAAATTTTTATACTATTACTATTTAGACAGTACAAGATCTTCAGGAGAAATCCTGAGAATGTTCTAAGGACGTAGGAACGTTTTCAGAACGTCTTTAGGATGCCCTCTTGAGATCTGTGCTGAGTATTATTAGCACAAATTTCAACGAATTATTTATCCACATAAATGGTAATTATCCATAATAATGGCGACCTCATAGATTTCAATCACCTTGATATATGTTGTCAAGGTCACCCTCCTGAGTAACGTGCAAAAAGTTTTAACCGTCGTTCATTGTTTGTTAAAAAGTTATTCACAAAAAGAGATACATTAATATCAACACAAAGTATATTAAGTGTAGCATGTAAACGGTGTCTGTCCCTAGCCGTGTAACCGGGGGCGTAGCCCCAGACCCCCCGTACCGCGGTGGGAAGGGACCAAGTCTGTTGTACTAAAGCTAAAGAGTGAAAATTTCTCACAAAAGACTTGGCCTCCCTCCCTCGCTGCGGTGCGGAGGGTCTTGGAGGCGTAGCCCCTCAGTTATACGGCTAGGGACAGGCACCTTTTTTATTTTTATTATTTTCTAATTATAAAACTTCAAATATAATAGGAACATATGATGCACACACCGCGAGTCCGTCCGGGCGGACGGGCGAGCAGCGTGTGTGTGTGCGCGCGCGTGCGTACGTGCGCGCGCGTGTGTGTATGTAGCAGGTATCTTGCTAGCTTACAAATTCGGTCTTTTGTATATACGATGTCCAAAAATTACTTTCATTTTATGCAACTTTGTTAATAACTTTTTAACAAACAACGAGCGACGGCTAAAACCTTCTGAAGGTTATTCAAGAAGGTGACCTTGATAACATATGTCAAGGTGATTGAAATCTTTGAGGTCTTCATTATTATGCATAATTATCCTAAATTCAAATCTGAATACTTTAGCTAAAGCAAATTTCGAGTAACGACTGTTAATACGGCCTATAGACAAATATTGATTACTACTTATGTACGACGTTCTCAAGTTGAAATGAGACTCTTATCTCACTTAATACGTTTTTAAATGTGATATTGTGCTTTCCAGCTGATACATATTGTTGCTAGGAGATTGTAAATAAATTTAACAAGGAGATGCCACAACTTGCTAAACGAAATTTCTGAACAAGTCATAGCACGTTCGATAGCTACGATGTTGAACATCAACATCTTAACGGGGTTTGTACAAATGAGAAATTGTGAGAAATTACAGTATAAAGTTTGGGTCGCGGAGCTGTAGCGTACGTAGGGTGAAAATTGCGGCTCTCTTTCAGTAAGGTAGCGTGGCTGAGTGGATTGAGACGGTAAATATTGATAAAAAGGAAGTCAGTTCCAATGACCTTGACATATGTTGAAGAGGTCACCTTCCTGAGTGACTTTCTGAAGGTTTTAACCGACGTTGTTTGTTAAAAAGTTATTAACAAAAAGGTTGCAAAAAATGAATGTAATTTTTCAACACCGTATATACAAAAACATAAAATTTGTAGGCTAGGAAGGTACCTGCTACTATTCTAAGTAACATTCAAAAGGCTTTAAATGGCGCTCATTGTTTGTTAAAAAATTATTAAAAAAAATACATTAATATCAACACAGAATATATTAAGTGTAATATGTAAACGGTAAGCGTGATTTTTTTCAAACATTTAGTTCTCATAGAGACACGCATCTACGTGCGCGCGTGCGTGCGTGCGTGTAAAAAATATTTCTGTCATACCTATTCATCAATAAAGTATTTGTTCATATATTTCATGCATTTTTCCTTTAAAAAAAGCAAAAAATCGTGTGTTACATTGAGAAATTCATACAAATGCATGTTAAAAATTTGGAAGCCGTGTGTTATGTTCAGTTGCATACGCACGCACGCACGCATACACACACATACACACACACATACACTGCTCGCCCGCCCTGTCAGGCCATAAAAAGTTAAAAAAGTTACGTAAATATCTTCTGAGTAGTTTTCCGATATTACATAGATTAAAATTTACATTGTTTTCTATCGCTTTTTTTATAAATAAAACGTAATTATAAAACTACATATATTATAGAACTAGATAAATGTGCAAGTCAGTTAGTAACAATACTACATGAAACTGTAGATAAGTATAAGTCTAGAGTGTTTATAAACAGAAGTCTCACACAATGGACATGTGAATATATAAGGCTATTTGTACAGTATACAAAGCAGTGCTGAATATCGAAATCGGTATTCTCTATTAGTCGAGTCTCATTCGCGAATAGTAACTTGTATAAAATTACAGAACATTGGTAAGATGTTATTATATGAATTCTTACATCTAACATATAATGAGCAATTACTCATACAGTATTTGCGTGAGAAAGGTGTTATTTAACGAGAAATAATGTGTCCACGATGTAATTAGTAAATAAAGTACACGATTCTAATCCGCTACTCTTACACTGCACCAATAACTACTATTGTCACGTTCAAAACCGGCGAATAGTATGTAACTTTAAAATAAGCATATTACATGGTACTTGGTTCGCCAATATACATATGAGTTTCGTAAGGATATGTTGATTTATTGCTTACTTCTTACGTATGCAACCTCCGCGACACCATTTCCTTATGCAAGAGTTGCAGATTTGTGATAGAACTATAGTTGATTGGGCTAATTTTTGTCGTGAGGTAAACTACGAAGAGTCATTAAATTATATATATATATATATATATATATATATATATATATATATGTATGTATGTATGTATGTATATATATATATATATATATATATATATAT